TCCAACACTCACCGATGATCATGAAGTGTGAATCATGATCAAAAGAACAAGATCCTGGTTAGAAGTGGCTAAAACAAGCATTCTCCATAGGGTGGCTGAGCTCAGTTGTAGAGATGAAGTGAGGAGCTTTGTCATCCTGGTGGGAGCTCAGAGTAGTGCCTCTGCATTGTCAGTTGAAATGGTTTGGGCATGTGATTAAGATGGCTCCTGGGTACCGTCTTTTCACGATTTTCTGAGCATTTCCCAGTGGTAGGAGATTCCAGGGCAGACAGAATTTGTTGGAGGGATTATGTCTCCATTCATGGGGTCCTCCAGGAGGAGATGCTAAGTGTTGCTGGGGAGAAGGATGTATGAGTTTCCCTACTGAACCTGACGCCTTTATGACCAAACCACAGATTAGTAGTAACATGATTGAATGAGTGTATGAACATTTTTATTTCTTGCCATTTAAAATACCAGCAGAATGTCACTCAGTTTGACATGCTCTTCCTTGCTGTCCCTAATGTGTCAGCCATCATCTGATACCTCCCCCACAAGAGATCTGACCCGCTGCCTGCAAGCACCTGAAACAACAATGACCGCTCCTTCTGAGACATCCAATAATCTTTGTATTATTACAGCAGTCTAACATCACTAGTAACATAATAATGATACAAAAATACATGTTATAATACTTACAGAGATATATAGATTGAAATATAAACTATAATCCAACTAGCTTAGATTCAAACTTTTTTCTGTTGCTGGACAACTTGTTTCAACAGAAGAAGAATTGTTATTTCTGCTTGGATTAAGGGTTATCCTACTCACAGGCTGAGTAACAGGTGATGTATGCATAATCAAAACTAGGCAACCTATGTATAAATATAAAAACATACCTTCTCAAATAAGAAATTGCAACAATTAATAATTCACATTTAAACTGTCACATTTAAAACCCAACATTTAAAATGTATCCAAAAATGTGGTTGTTAGAAAAAGATCTGACATCAAATTGAGCTAAAAAGCAGAATTAACTCATTTTTTTAAAAGAGGCATGTATTTTCATTATGTACTAAAGTAGAGATTTATTGGTCTTCTTATATTTCCATATATGGCACACAAATTGTTTTTGTAACTGGAAACTGGGATTTGAATTATTTCAATAATAATTTACAAAACAATCAAAGACCCATGGGTTTTCTTTTAAATAGTGAATGAAAAAGGCATGTCGGCATCTGTTTTGACATGACTTTTCTTTTGTTTATGGGTTTTAAAGCAACTGAAATACTTGGCTCTCGTTTCCTTGCTGGCATCAGACTTGTGTGTGAGATTAGCACAAATATCAACATGCAATTAGAAGTGACATTGAGTCCAAGGAGCTGAAAAGCAGCTTCGTGGAAAGAAGCATTCTTGAGCCCACCAGAGATTGTTGGAAGCAGACCAGCAGGGTACAGATTACCGCCCCAAGTCTGCCTCTAATGAAAGCTGCTGCTCGTCGGCGTCTGACAAACAGCACGAGAGCAGCAAAGTGAGGAAAACTGGAAATAGATACAAGCAGGTGTGCCAAGTGCGTGAATCCGTTCAGCGAGGGAAAACGTTAGGCTGCAGAAATCTCAGATCACTGCCTCCAATGGATACACAATGCTGCTCGTTAATGGTGTCTGCCGCGATTATCAATATTTTGACATAATCTCACAAGCTCTGCCACATTGCATTCTGCTAAAGTCGAAGCAAACCTGTGTTATTACCAAATATGCAATACAGACATCCTGTATGTAGAAGAAAATGCCATAGGCTACTTAAAAAAAAAAAAAGTGAAAAAGCAACAAAGAGTGCAGACATAATGAGACGGAGAACAGCTGTTGTACAGCTGTAATATTGCAAGCTGGGCTGTTCTTGTACTGACATAAACAAATCACTTCTGCTTAACACAAACGTGCAAATCTTATTAGTGCCTAGTTAAAATACTGTTAATTTTTTTTTTCCCAACGAGCTTTACAAACACCTTTTTTTACCTGGTTGCAAAAGTGGAACTTTATTAAAATAACTGTCAGCACAACAAAGGAAACAGCAAATAAAACATATATATTATATCTATATAGTTATATCCAGCTGCGCAATTCCTTTCAAGTTCCTAAAACCCCTTATTTTACCATTAACCTCTTGCAACAGCTTTTATCCTCCTGATCCTGAAATAAAAGCAGCCCTTACCCATCATGTTGTAGAGGCTCTGTGGTGCAAATTGTCTTGGCATTTTCTGTATTGCTTCTTTAAACACGGAGAGGGCCTCCTGCGAATGAAAGAAAAAAGAAAAGAAGGTGGGGGGATGTTTGCATTAGAGCATATAGACCCTGCCAGAGAACCTGGCTCTGGGGTAAACAGTCATTGCTCCAATGCAGCCGGGGCCCTGACAATATGAATGCACAGCGTGGAATTGGGGGTTCTTCGGTCGGGTGGTTTATACAGAGCTGAGCACAAAGGGTCTATCCTCTCTGTCACGGCTGTTAATACAACTAGAAGAGTGTCACTTATTGACTCTAGCATAGTGTGCATGTTCAGCAATTCAACCTCAGAGTACCCTGGAGTTTAAAACAGCAGCGAGACCTAAAACTGCTTTATTGCTGAACCAAATGTTGTGGTTAGAGGTCAGAAGCAGTGGGATTAAAAAAAAATTTTTTTTTAGGGCTTGAATATGCCAGCTATGTGTATAATCTTTTATGAAATCAGCATTACTACTGCTTCTTTCTTGACTGAATCAGCAGAATCAACTGCTTATACACAATATAAATGTGCAACATTAGAAAGGAAAAAAATAGTTTTGTAACTGGCAGGGCTGGTCTTCAGAGGCATAAAAGTAAGTGAATTAAAAAAAAAAAAACAGCCTGAGGATTATTTGCACAAACACAGTGTCCCCGATGACAAAAGCAATTTTGAAAAATGTCAGTATTAAAGCGAACATTTTCTCAACATTCCCTGAAGGCTCCTTGAGCAACTTCCTGCATTTTATCTCAGTTCAATGCAGTTTCAGCTCTACTTATTGTACAATATGACAAGAAGGACTCCTTTAACTCCCACAGCAGCAGTCTGAGAGGTTGTTAAAACCTTATTTGCATAGATGTTTTCAAATTCGTAATTTACACTAGTGTACCTGCAATCTGTAGTTTTTTTTTAAATAATAAATTAAAAAAGGAAATTAATTATAACTGTATTTATAAGGAATTGCCACTTGTATACACAATTCATCTTATTGAATACTTGTGAGCTAACAGACAGGACCACCTATTACATTAAAAACATTTAATGAAAAGGAAGAAAATAACATTTATAAATATCAATGGTACATTACAGTAGTCCCTTGCCACTTCGACTTTCGCGGAGTCGCTCTAGCGCGGTTTGTGGATGTACAATTCATAATATTGTACAAAAAAAATGTACTTGACACATGATTGTCGACTTTACAGTAATATTTCTGTACTCATGTAGTTGGGAAAAAGTTAATGACAAAAAAAAAATTTCTGACGGGTGCCGCCATTTTGTAGTTTTCTTTCAATAAGTCTACACAGTAAGTACACAGTCCAAAAGAACTATATTACCCACAAGGCAACAGTGCACTTCCCAGTGCACTCCAACAGTGCTTCCAGCCATGTGCTTTCTACCAAAATGGAAGGAAAGTTTTGATCCGATCCGAACCTGACAAAAAAGCTTGGTACTTATTCATAGTGACTTCAGCGCTCAGTGGATACAGAGAGCCAATCAGAACCGGACCAGAACTACTTACAGCCTCATCGGTCACTATGAGTGCTGTTTGCTGACCCAGGGAGCCTCTCAAGTGGGGAAGCGTTGCTTGGAGGTCTGGTGTCTTCTCCGGAGCTCACCTGGACATTTTTCATTGGATTTCTCTGGATTACAGTCTTTAGACTCTATCTGGACCATTGTGTGGTTTTGTGTTGGCTCTCCAGAGGTCTGGCTCTCTCTAAAAGCATCTTGGTGCTCAACGGCTGTAGAGAGCCGATGAGAACCCGCCCAGAACTGGGCCAAGGCTGGTGAGTCCCCATATAAAATTTTGCAGTAGCTACTGTGTAATAAATATACATATGTTGTTAAAATTATGTATGTTTAAGAGTTTAGAACATTGCAAGAGTGTGTGAAAGGTTTATATGCATATACTAAAATAAATATCGCTACTTCACGTAATTTCACTTACTGCGGGCGGGTTCGTAACCGAACCCCTGCAATAAACGAGGGACTACTGTAAACCCCTATATTAAGTTGTTAGCCACAAGCTAATGGTAAAAAAAAAATTGAAAAATGGCCAATTTCTAAACCAATTTTGAGTCTATTGTGTTCACCTGATGATGAACTTTGTGCTGCTGTTTAATAAACTATATTATTTTGTATTATTAGCGTTAAGCATATATCAGATCTTTTCGTGTATTGTTTAGCGTTTGTTTAGAGTATATATTAGTGTATATCTTAGATCCTTATATACTCTTTCTTTTTATACTTTATTTTTTTTTGCTATTTTTGGGTCTAACTGGGACCTTGAGTACACAATTTCCTTCCACTTCATGTACCACATGTGACGTGAATGACTATAAAGAACCTTGATCCTTGAACCTTGAACTTACAAGGCTTGTATATTCTGACTTTCTTAACAGAAATGTGATGTGCACGTGTGTGTGTGTTTGAACTGCTACCTCCTGGTGTCCCTGCTCATGAAGCAGCTTGCCCAGGTTGTAGAGGCAGCTGGTGACTGAACTCTTATGGGCGTGAGGGTCCTTGAGGTTCTCATCTGGGATATCAGCACATGTCAGAAATGTACGTTTGGCCTCGTCCAGACGGCCCTGATTCATGAGGATGATGCCTGTATTCAAGTAGGCCGCTGGGGGGAAGATACCAGGAAAAAAATAATTTACTATATATAAAATAAATAAAATTGAGTTTCACCTGTAGTGAAAATCTTTTTAAAATAAAGATACAAAATAAAATCAATGTTCATACATTGTGCTTTGTAATGGATATTTGCCATTACCTTTATTTAAACATTCATACAGATGTTCTATTTCATATAGGCTTCGCCCTTTAAGGCTGTCGCTGATGGTTTATCCCGTTATGCGCAGCATAAGCACTGAAAAAAATTAGTCCACGCCCACCTGCTGTGTGGGCCCCACCCGGTCCGTATAAATTACGTTAAGAGCGGGAAATCGGCTCCCATTTTTTCTTCAGCGAGCTAATATAGCACTGTCAGAAGAACAAAGAAGATAAATTGTGTAAATGACCAACCTTGTGAAGGATGCTTGGCCCGGCAGTCGACCTCCGGTCGTCCGGTGAGTTCTCCTCCCCGAGGAGAAGATGACAGCAGTCTTATTCCAAGGTAAGCGTCCGGGAACATTTCCCAGTGACAGGTCATTACACGCTGGACAACGCCATCTTGTGTTTTTCCTCTTATCGCCGACCCTCGGGGCGAACCGGATGGTTCCTCCGGGGCAAGGTGTGCTCAGCTGCAGCCCCCGCTGCTCATTCCCTCCCGGGGAGCGTAGTGTAGGTGGAGGGGGGCTGAGTGAATGCTCACCCCATCCCACCTCGTTTCGCATCGGCGATCACACCGCTCCCGGCCGACAGCGCCCTCAGGGGTTGCCCGGCGGAACCCGGGAGGAGGCTGACATGAAGGGACCCCTTTTTTCTACGTCCCTCGCCTTTTCCCGCCAGTTCGGATGATCGGCGGAAAGGTTATTTTTTCACTGACGTGTTTTTCCAGGCAGCCGCAGTTAGCAACAACGTGCGCTTTTAGCATATAGCATGTCCAAGGGACTGAAGGCCGCAGACCTGCCTTGGAGACAAAGAACTCCTTCTGTAAGGCAACTGACGCTATTCCTCGGTTCCCTCCCCTGGAGCCAAGCCTCGCGGAAGCTTCCGGAGCGAAGCTGTCCAGGTCGGAGCAGCGTCCCGTCCCTCCGGAGGAACCAGACGGCGACCAAAGCTCTCCAATCGAGCCCACCGGCGTGTTTTCAGGCAACCGCAGTTAGCAACAACATGCGCTGCTAGCATTTAGCATGTCGAAAAGGCTGGAGACCTCACACCTGCCGCAGGAGACAAAGAGCTCCCTGTGTAATCGGCAGACGCCATCCTCAACATGTGCGCCGCTCCCTCGGTTTGCCTGTCGAGGATTGTAGCATGGATGACGGTAATCCAACGTTCCATCTGGCTCCGTCACTCTCCATTGCTGCCGGAAAAGCTGCACAAAGACCGGATGGAGGGCCCCATCTCATCGGACGCGCTGTTCGGAAGCAGCTTGACGTCCATGCTGACGAATTCGAAGCAGTCGGAGGAGACGTCGGAAGCTGTACGCCATCTCATCAAGCCGCGCGGCTCATTCCGTCCTCCAGCCCGCTGGAGAGATCGTCAAAAGCAGAGGCAGAAACATCGACGCTCCACGGCAGCAGCAGCTTCGTCTCGCCCAGCTCCACCACCAGCCCCGCCCGCCAGAGACCACCCCTCCTCAGTCCGGCAGCCTGCACTTCAGCGTTTTCCCCAGAGATCGCCTGCAGACGGCGCTCGGAGCAAACAAACCGCAGAGCTCACGGGGGAGAAGTTTTAAGAAATGACGGTCTGCGGAGGATGTGTTTATAAATGACACAGGAATTGAATAAATGATTTTTCAAAGATCAAAATGCCTGTTTTTAGCCAGTCTGTAAGCTCGGATGAGCTCACAGCCGCTACACACACATCCTCCACTCATAAGAGCCGGTGTCCTTAAATAAAGGTTTTTTAAATCCACCGCCGCTCCTTCACATGCCCAGACGCTCACGTGACACCACGGTAAGCGAAATAACTTGTTGTCAATCAGACCCGCACGATCACCTCCCAACGGTGTTAACGCGCTCCCGAGCGAGACAAGCAGCCTCCATCCAACGGCACTGTGTCGATGATGCACGCACAGCTGCCCGGCGCTCACCGGCCCACATCGGGATAAATGTGGGACCGCAGGCCGGGTCCGGTGGAGGTCCCTGCTCTCAGCGAAAACAACACACGCCTCTCCTGTATGAACGCGAGTGGCCGTCATCCACCGCGTCCCAGCGATCAGCAGCTCACGGCGGCATAAGCGTGAGACAGCTGAATGAATCTAATGACGGGCCCCGCCCTCAGCGAGAGCGGCGCGCGTCCCTCCAGAGGAAACGTGCGCTCCCGCGAGGCTCACAACCTTCACTTCATCAGCTGACACACGCCTCGCCTCAGCACACAGCTACCGCCCCGCCCGGACATGAAGGTTGGTCCGCGATCCAGTCACAGCGCGCGGGCGCGCGCAGAACAGCCCTTTCGAGAAAGCCTCGCCTTGGGTCACGCGGAAAACATTTCCGCGACGCATGACGGCGGTCGAGGCGGAGGTTTGGATGACATCCGTTCAAAACACGGCACATCATTTAAACGCACGTCCACTCCACGAACGTCACGCAGAGTGGTTAAAAACATGCTCACCGGACAGATGGATGGACAGAGTGTTATGCAAGGGTTACACGCTGCAGTTTGCAACCCGACCCCCTCCGTTCGGAGGAGTTATAGAGACGGTCCTGTCATCACCAGACCAAGTCTCAGCCTTAAATGCAGAAGTCCAAGAGCTTCTGATAAAAGGTGTAATCTCAAGAGTTCCCAACGAGGAGGAAAACACAGGTTTTTACTCACGCTACTTCCTGGTCCCCAAAGGACCGGAGGGATGAGACCGATTCTGGATCTGTCAGCTTTCAACAAAGCGATCATGAACAGATTTTTTCACATGTTGATGAACAGACAGCTGTTGGACAACATCCAGGAAAACGACTGGTTTGTCTCCATCGTTTTAAAAGATGCCTATTTTCACACACCAATCATCCCAAAACACAGAAAATTCTGCGTTTCGCCTTTCAAGGGATGAAGTACCAGTACAACAGGTTGCCTTTTTTGGGTACTCCCTCGCGCCTCGTACGTTCTCAAAGTGTGTGGAGACAGCCCTGCATCCACTGCACAAGCAGGGATGAGAGTTTTGTTTTACCTGGACGACCTGCTGCCCCTGTCTCACTCCAGACAGGAAGCATTGATACAGGCTCAGGTGTTAGCATCACACCTGCTAAATCTGGGTTTCGCCATAACTGGAAGAAGAGCTCGATTTTCCCGGCCCAGATAATTGTTATCTGGGAGTGGAATTAAACTCAATTACCATGACGGCTCGTTTATCACAAACAAGAATCGACACTCTAAAAACCAATTACGCCACGTAAGACCTGGCAAAGTGGTAACAGCTGTCTCCGTCATGAAGCTGTTGGGAATGACGTCATCAGCTCACACAGTGGTCCCGCTGGGTTTGTTACACATGAGACGCCTCCAGAGGTGGTTTACGCGTCTGCGTGTGGATCCAGTAAAACAAAAGAGACGGATGATCACTGTCCCTCCCTCCATGGGAGCAGACCTCCGACACTGGGGAAACACCCTGGCTCTGTCAGAGGGAGTCCCCGTCAGCAGACCCACGTCACGTGTCAGTCTTCACGGACGCGTCTCTGTCAGGTTGGGGGGGGGAACATGCCTATCTCAAGCAGTAGGGGCGCTGTGGCCCCACCGCACATCAGCCCACATCAATGTTTTGGAGTGTCGCACAGTGCTGAATGTGATTCAACATTTTGCTCCCGTGCTACAGAATCAACACGTGTTGATTCACACAGACAACATGGTGACTGCTGCGTACATAAACCGCCAGGGGGGTGTGCGTTCAGCCCAGATGTTACACATTGCGCGGAAGCTACTGAGTTGGGTTCATCAAACCTGCTTTTATTAGAGCGGTTTACATATCCGATGTTCTGAACAGAGGGGCTGATGTGACGTCCAAGGGCGGCCCACGTTATGTGGACCGGATCCTCCATCCGGATCTGATGTTTTTCAGACACAGCAGAAGTTGGCAAAGCAGCTGTGGACCTGTTTGCGACGCGAGAAGAACGCGCAATGTCAACTACGGTTTTTTCCCTGAGCCCGCGAGACGATCCATCGCTGGGGGGGACGCATTTGCTCACAGTCGGTGGCCCAAAACGCTTTTTACGCGTTTCTTTTCCCTCACCTCCTCTGTTTTTTTACGGTCCACGAACCGAGTTCAGGAGGAGGGATTGACAGCTCTCCTGGTGGCTCCCGGCGTGTGAACGCACTATGGTTCCCAGGCCTGCAACGTCTGTTGTGGGGTCGCCGTGGAACTGTCGTGGAGGAAGGATGCTCTCCTTCAGGCAGGAGGAGCGACCAAGAGTTACCCAGAAATAGGTCAACACCGGTGGGTTTGACCGCTGAGCGGTCCCACTTAGAGGATGGGTCTCCCTCAGGAGATAGTGTGCACAATTCAAGATTCACGTGCTGCATCTACCACAGTTCTGTACACATCAAGGGTACGGCTTTTCAGCGCTGGTGTACAGAGAAGGTTTAGAGACCACTTCATGCTTTTTAGGCAGCGTGTTGTTTTTTCTACAACACCTGATGGATAGGGAGTTGGCTTTCAGTACGCTTTAACGTACGTTGCAGCCATCTCTTCCTGCCACAAAGGGTTTGGAGACAGAACAGCTTTTAATCACCCGCTGATGAAGCGGTTTCTAAAAGGTGTTCAGGGATGTAGGCCTGTTTCATGCCCACTTGTTCCACAGTGGGATTTAACGCTGGTCCTGCGAGCCCTGATCAAAGCTTCAATTGAGCCTCTGGATCAGTTTTCATTTAAATTCTTGTCTCTTTAAACAGTCCTGCTGCTGGTTTTAACACCCGCTAAGAGGGTAAGTAATTATCTGCCCTCTCTGTTGTTTCGTCATGCCTTAGAATTAGGCTGACGGGCAGCTCAGCTGTTTTAAGACCAACCCAGCTTTTATGCCTAAAACATCACGAGCTCTTTTAAATCAAGAGTGATGTCGTTGGAGGGGTCTTTTCCCCCCCCACAGATCAGAAGGGGAAGCATCTGTTCATCTTCTCTGCCCGATGCAGGCGTTGACGTGTTACGTAACGCGCACAGCTGCAATGCGTTCAAATTCAACAATTGTTTGTGCATTATAGAGATGCTTCTGCAGGTCGCCGTTATCCATCCAGCGCTTGTCACACTGGCTGTGTGAGGCCTTTTTCTGAAGCCTACAGAGCATCAGATTTAGGGCCTCCTGTCAACCTCTAAGCACACTCGACCAGGGGTATCGCATCTTCGACTGCTCTGCATAATGGTATGTCAATGCAGGACATTTGCACTGCGGCTGCATGGTCAACACCCTGCTCATTTATTCGCTTTTACCTACGTGATGTAACGGCTCGTTCCATGACACATTCTGTCCTTAGTGCCCTAACAGAATGAATATTGTTGTTCTCATGGAACTCTGTTTAAGCTCACTTCTGTCTGCATGCATTACAGTGTGAGATGTTGTTTTCAGTCACAGTCATGTCTGTGATTTTGGTTCTATTGTCACTAATCAGTTCATGATTATTGTTAACAATCAGTTCATTTGATTATTGATTAATTCATGGACATTAATCTGTTTATACTGTTCAGCCATGAACCAGTTGGTTCATGCCCCCCCCCCCCCTCTTTTTTCAACTTCTTCTTCATGTTGAAAGTTTTTCCGGGGTATTCATGTTTGTCAGAACGCATAGTTACACAACATGCGTCTGTGCATGGCACATAATTACGCGATGCGTAGTTTATGCACACGGGGAGCTGAGTGACAAGACGTTTTTTGGGCAAGCTTCCGCTTCTTACTGTGTTCGAATGGACCCAGTGAGGCGAGGACCACATCCGCTTCGCCCTTAAACCATCAGCGACAGCCTTAAAGGGCGAAGCCTATATGAAATAGAACGTTGGTTACGTACTGTAACCCCAGATTCTATGAATATAGGCGTAGCCCTTTAAGCGTCGGGCCTCACTGGCTCCTAAATGGCTGAAGAAAAAAGCTATTTTGGGAGCCGATTTCCCGCTCTTAACGTAATTTATACGGACCGGGTGGGGCCCACACAGCAGGTGGGCGTGGACTAATTTTTTTCAGTGCTTATGCTGCGCATAACGGGATAAACCATCAGCGACAGCCTTAAAGGGCTACGCCTATATTCATAGAATCTGGGGTTACAGTACGTAACCAACGTTTTACTGCTCACTAGAATCTGCATTTCTCACTGTGGCTGAAAAAGTAAAAATGTTCCTTGTTACCATGACAACACAACATGTTCATTCTGTTATGGCTGGGATTAAACGGACTGTCAATTGCATGGTTTGGGATATGAAATTAATGCAGATATAATTAAAAATGAAACACTTTTGTTAAATTAAAATATGCAAATAAATTATTGAATGTAATTAAACGACAGCAGCTACAACAAAAATATTTCATTTAGTGGGGAAACAAAGTAATGCAAAGGTAATAGTTAATCTCTGCTAACAGAAGTAGCTTTTACGTTTGCCCTATTTAGAACTTTGCATGTGTCCAAAGTTTTTTTTCTTTTTATATTCCTATTTATTTATTTATTATTTTATTTAATTATTAAAGATGTGCTTTGTCCGCTACAAAAAGTGAAAAATACGTCAAAGCTTTTCTGATTATATTTATAAAATCTAATGCATTTATAATTTTTGTGATGTAGGGAGCAAAGTTCATTTTACTTATTGCGTTTTATTCAAAATTCTTATAATAGAATAGAAATAAATATCAGTCCTCAAATAAAACATCAGCCTTGAGCTACCTTACACCACAAAAAATAAAAAAATAAAAAATAAAAAACTGAAATGAATGAGCATTGCTTTTGAATGATACATTCAAATTTGACCAACCATGCCAGAATTCACATTATTCAAGTTTTCTTTTTGGATTTGACATAAGCATACACGACGTGGACGACTTTAAAAGCCCTTAAGCTCTTTAAACAGTCAAGACAAGATCATCAGATCAATACATGGACAGATGCCACTCTCTGTGGAACCTCTTCTTGAAGCAACTCCTTATATCAAGTCTGCCTGTTGGAATAAATTAACTTGATAAAGCAGATCAATCTGGAAGGTTTTCAAAGATAACACTGGCATAATGAAGACAACGAGGACTGGTTGGGAATTAAATTGTTTTCTTCACGTTTTTCCTCTACTAGTTAATTGTATATATGTCTACAGAACAACAAAGCCCATGCTCAATAATCCAGGTAGACATTCCAACATTTTTCAGTCAGGTCATCAGATGACCTGACTGAAAAATGTTGGAATGTCTACTGAAGTTTTTCTTTCTGCATCTTTCAAACCAGATCTAAATCTGCTTTATCTGATTTTGCATCAACAGGTCAATAAACATGTTTCCACTGTAGGGATTTTCAAAAAAGAGGAATGAAAATCAAATACAATTCAACAAAAGGAAGACTGAATTTTGTACTGGTTTTCTGTAGTCAAAAACCAAACCAATGATGCTTTACCACAGAACAAGCTGTGTACTGAATAAAAATGCAACAATTTGTTCTGGTTATCTCCCAGTCAGGCAGTGAGTAATGGTGTAACCTTGAAAAAAACAACTGTCACATTATCATTCTAGCTTCAAAATGTCAGCTACTTAGAGTAATTAATTAACACTGTTATTGGCTATACCAGATTGGATAATTGCATGTTGAATGAGAATTTCCCAATCTGACTGTGAGCTTGATTAGATGCATAATTAATCTGGGGAGAAAGGAAGACACGTTTAGGATTATCTGTTAATCTGTCATTGACTGATGCCCAAAACTATGGGGTGCTAATTTATTGTGTGATCAGGTGGGAATGTGAGCGATTTGAACAAACTGTGAATTTGACGATGACATTCTTTGAATTTTTAACAGACGAAGATGGTATTATGGAGAAAGTGTTAAGATAAAACTGAAAGGAGTTATAAAAAACCCCCCACAAAGAAATACAGGAGAACAACAAAGGAACAAAATAAATAGAAGCATCGTGGTCTGAATTCCCAGTACATGACATCACAAATGTACTCATTCTGTTGACATAACTGGGCTTTGAAAGCCGCTCACCCAGCTGTGCTTGAATGTTTAATTCAGCTCAATACCCAGTGCCCTTTGTGATCCATTTCTTTCCCTTCACATAACCACAGCTTTTGTTCACGGTTGCCTGGACACAGCACAACCGCAACCACAGGAGCTGGACATTGTCAATTAAAAAAAGAAGAGCTGTACTTACAAGCGAGAGTTGGCCGGCTCCCAATGGCCAGCTTATAGTAGTGGAGTGCCTCTGAGAATTTGTTGCTCTCCTGTAGCAGCAAACCACTGGGCCAGACAAAAAGGGATAAGAGTTGTGACAATTTAGAGCTCAAAATGACATATTTGAAGTTAAAAGCTTCTGGTAAGAATAAAATTACTTTGACGGGACGTCTAATAGCTTTCAATACGTATTACCCATGACAACAGTCATGAAAAAAGAGGAAAAAGGAACAGAAATTTCCAGACTAGGTTAATGTTTTAGCCTAGTTTTTATTTTTGAATGTTTTTCAGGCTTATAAAACAACTCTTTTTCAAACATGATGTACTGATATGAAAAAGCAGTACGTCATCTTCTTCTTTCAGCTTTTCCCTCTTCAGGGGTCGCCACAGCGAGTCATTCTCCTCCATCTCACTCTGTCCTCACTCCAACTACCTCCATGTCCTCTCTAACTGCATTCATATATCTCTTCTTTGGCTTCTTTCTGCATTTCTAACATCCTTCTACCAATATACCCACTGTCCCTCCTCTGGACATGTCCAAACCATCTCAGTCTGGTCTCTCTAACTTTATCTCCCAGTAGTTCAACCTGTGCTGTACCTCTGATGATCTCATTCCTAATCGCATCCATCCTTGTCACTCCTAAGGAGAAATTCCACATCTTCATTTCAGTCACTTCCAGTTCTTTCTCCTGCCTTTTTGTCAATGCCACTGTCTCCAGACCATACAACATAGCTGGTCATGAAAGTGCAGTACAAATCTAATATTAAACTTCAAACATTAATTTAACTTGGTGCTGTTTACTCAGGCCAACAACGTTTGTGCTTTACTCACATGTGCATATGAAACATGGAGCATTATGTCAGTGGTGTTGAGGCTGCTGAATGTATCAGTCCATGTAATTAGCATCTCTAGTCACTCCATTAATTTACTCAACTCCAGGCAGACTGATGCATCCAGCAGCATGCAAACAAGGGAATTTTGAGAAAGAGTTGATTTGTAAACTTGAAAAATTATTTAAGAAAAAACAAATACCAAAAAAAAAAAAAAAAAACCTGACCATTACTTGGCTACCCATTAGCCTAGCCTCCTGCCTCTTTCTCCGCATACTAAGTATTGATGACCATTAGGCAGAGCATCACTTCAACAATGTTTGGACTGTTCCTTTAATAAAATAAAAACAAAAGAGATAAAGAGAGAAAGAGATAATAAGCACAGGCAGCGTAAACTGTGAGTATTGGCTAACAATTTGTGCTTCCCCTTTGACTAAACCAGCATCATTAATACTGCTGTCAGGCAAATAACGCTTTGGGGAATAGAAGACAAAACAGCACTTCCTCTGAGAAAACAATCAGACAAAAAAGAACTTCTACATTTGTTCATGCTCATTGTTAAGAAAAGTAGATTTCTATTAAAAAAGTAGCTGACAGCAGCAGATACTACATAAAATCAGAGGCAATTTAACATCAAACATAAAAAAAAAAAGAAGGAATGTATTAAAAATACAACTCACAGGTTATACAACATATCTGCCATGTTGGTCCGGTAGTACAAAGCGTTTCTGTATGCCTGTTCGGCTTTTTCCATCTCTCCTTGACTCTTTAAAACGTTTCCAAGGTTGCCCCAAGCTGACAGGTCACAAAAGAAACAATTAATGAAATGATGAAAACAGAATATTTGTGACATAATCTTTTATTGCTGCTTTTTTTCTGTTTTTTTACCAAAACCCTATAAAAGCTTGAGGTAGATCAGCCGGAGACACTGTTTTATTGTGAAGTAACAAATGATTTTGTTTTCTCATCCAAAGGCTCTTACAATTTACATGCTTTAAAAATGGCTAAAATAGATGCAGATCTGCAGCAGCTAGTACTTTGAGACAGAATAATTGCACACCGGGGGAGCTCAATGCAGAACAACCAGTGTTTTTTATGAGAATGTGCATGAAAAGAAGACAACCACAGTTGGGTTGAAGAGCTGAAGGACTTGGTGTTTAAAGACTGAGAACAGTGACAGGTGATGTAAAGTTATTCAGATTTTTTTTCAATACTTTGTGCAGAGACTGAGAGAAAATACATTCAGGCAATTAAACAAAAATCATTCAATAAACGTGAACTGAAAGTGGAAAAGGGCAGATTTTTTTTAAGCAAGTTTATGGATATTAGCTGTGATCAAATCTATATACACTCTAATAATCAAACTTTTAGTTTAGGAACTAGGATGTATAGTAGTCCTAAGTTTATTGCAGGGGATCCGAACCTTGAAGATCCACTATAAGTGAAAATTCTGCGAAGTAGGTTTAGTAGTACAAGTAGTAAGTAGTATATACGTGTATATAAAGGTGTTTTAAACCATTCCCACACTCTTGAAATATTCTAAACAATGTTTCTAAACTCTGAACACTCTAAAAGAGCACAGAATGTCAGCTCTCTGCCTCAGCTGCCATCTGCCAGTGCTTTTGGCCACGCCCACTCCTCCGCAGCAGAGCGGAGGTCAGCTGATCAGCTGCAGGGTGAAGCTTCTCCTGAAGCTGTGGGCTGCACAAAGGTGAAGCAGGTGCTAAATAATTTAACATAATTAATTTTAAATGAAAACTCCATGCCAAATCGTGCAGCTCATCCATCAATCAGCCAATTGTGTGTCATGTCCAATCTTACTTTGAAAAACTGCGATAGAGCGAGTCTGTGACAAACATATCGTGAAGTAGTGAGGGACTATTGTACACTGTATAACTCTAATGAAAATTATTATTTTAAGACCTTCTTTCAAAAAAAAAAAAATATATATATATACATAAATAATCCAACATCTCTATAAAATGACATCTTTACAAATTCCCAGAAAGTTTAAATGAAGCATTTTATTGGCTACCAGCATCTCCACTAGTCTTTTTTGTTGTGCCATATTTACAGAGCTAAAAGAATGTGGTTTGCGTTTGACTAATATATATTTTAAACTTCACTCAGTGAAACCCTGACAGGCTGTTTAGCTTTAGTAAAGACACGGGCACAACAACACTTCATTTCAACAGTCCATCCAGTTAACTCTGCTTTCTTAGCAGACGGTGTTTCCTTATAGCTTTCATGAATGTTTTGCAGGTTCCAAAGGTCCCAGATGAAAATCCAAGGAGCATGTGCATGTCTGATGTTGGACTCTTTTCAAATCTCATATTAGCTTTATTGAATGTAAGGCAGTGTTTTGGTGCTACTGTGCTGGCCTGCCAAAACAAACAGCTGTCATGCCTCAGCTCCGCTGCAGAATCTGAAAGGGAAATTAGCTAACTCAACATGTCCCTCTGTTGCTTTGTGAGGCCCTTCCACGTTTCTCTCCTCAGTAGCTCAGCAAACATCACTTTGGATTTAAATCTGTGTCTGGTAAATTTAAATACTTTTGAATATTTTATCTCTGGTTGAAGGTGGCATTTGGAAACAAGCTGTTCCAAATAAGACCAGGCATGTGTTATCATTAAATATATATAAAAAAAAATGAACTCAAATGACATCTCTGCAATTTTATTTTAGAATAATGTCAACACGTGCTATAAAATACTGTATATTTGATGACTTTTTTTTAAATTTCAAATACTCCAAGATCAGTTTGTGGCGGTTTCCTCTTTCGTGTTGATGCTGAGCGATGAAGACATTTTGAAGCAGACTCCCTTTAAATTATTTAGTACCGCATAAGATGGAAAGAGAAAACAGACTTGGGAGCTCATTCATGTTCGTCAGGCAAAAAAACACTTTTGTAAAGCTGTGTTTGTGTGTATGTTTGAGAAGATGTATAAAATAAAATAAAACCGTGCACCTCAGTCGAGTCTTACCTTTAGCAGGATTGACATAAATCCCTGACTTGTAGAGCATCTCTTCATTCTGCCAGTCCTGGTTCCTCAAAACAGTTTTGACACTCAACAGTAAAACCAGGGCTGCACTGCAGTACAGCAAAACTGTCCTGAAAGACCTGCGTCGCAGTCGAACATACAGAGACCTCACCCCCACTGCAACCAGCAGGCAAAAGCCCATGCTAGGGATGTACAGTACTCTCTCTGCTATCACAAATCCTACATAAAAAAACAAGTTTGTGGCTGGTAAAAATGGGATAATCAAGAGGCCCAGGGAGAATGCCACAACATTTTCAGTGGTAGGCAGTGGAGTCCTGCTTTCATCATGTGTTTTTGTACCATTTTGTGCACTGTTAGTATGAGCATCTGTGTGAGAGTTGCTCACGTGTTCATGGTTGTTACAACAGTAACTGTGGCCATTACTGTTCCCATTTCGGCCATTAATATAATGGAGCGTTTTCCCGTTGGCGTCTTTGCTCTTGGATGTCGAGCGAGTCCACAGGCAGAACCAAGCAAGCATTAGCAATCCAGGATAAAAAACGACTGTGTGAATGTTCCTCCAGTCCGCAACGGTCCTGAGCAGAGGCAAAGCATCCATTGACCAATCAAAACTGAGCTTGTCTGGACAGAGGAGGAGCCAAAAGTTAAAGACGGGTAGGTAGAAAAAGGTTAAAGTCCTGGTGAGGAGCGAGGGGGAGTCTGCTGCTGGGTTGTCAGAGTTGGAGAAGTTTGGAGGTTTGTTTCCCATCCAAGAGAAGCGGCATGCCAGTAAGACAACTCCCCACGCTGCCAACAAAAACACATTCAGCAGCAGGTGGATGTTCTTTCTCTGTTTGACAAAGAAAAGACAGAGAAAGAGTTTAAATCTTCAGTCTACGGTCCAGAAAATAAAAAAGAACTAGTGTAAATCAAACAAAACCTGGTTTCTAACAGTGCCAGGTTTAAATAAGGGCCAAAACAGTTCAGCTGCATTATAAAACGAGTATTTAACACCAATTTCCAGTCTTAATATGTTTGGCAGGCTTAGTTTAAAATGTTTATTTTAATTCCCCACCAAGATGGAATAAAACATGCTTCCACACTTTATTTTTTTATTTTAAATAAAACCGCTGAATCAATTCATCAATTGTTCAAAAAAAATGAAAGTGACCTTCTACCAGACCTTTCTATTTGAACATAATTTTTCTTTTCAAGTGCCTCCACAGACGTATCAAAACTAACACAGCTATATGACCTCCATTCATCATATTACAAAACTGATATTAAACACTTTCCCAATGTTGTGTGGAAATACTGATAAAACATTTATACTCTTTGGCTGTTCTACAGTTTGCTGGCAGAGCATTTAAAAATGACAGTGTAAACTGTATTTCCTCACAAACGAGTTGCAGTGTTGGGAATAAAATTATCTTTTTTTAAGGGTTCATGTTGGAAACCTTTCACAAAAATAGCTGCAAAGCATACATGGTGGTGCTTATTTCACATGTAATGTTATTAAGAAATGCATAAGGAATATTAAACAAATTGTAAAATTGCCAAATGATACCAAAGAAGTTGTTTTTTCTTTCATTAAGCTGACTGAATCTAAATCTCCAGGGCAATGACATCTCAGATGGAATCATTTTAATATTCAAATTCTAATCTAAAGCAATTCAATCTAAAGTAACAATATTTTTTATACTAGAAGATGTGATTCTTTCAAGCTCCACATGCCAGAGGGTTCAACTACGTATCATCTGTGATCATAAACATTACGGCACCCCTGCTTTGGGGTTGTGATATTGATTGCCTTGTCATTTACAAATTGTATCTGAAAAGAGGATTCGTAACCTTTGGAAACAGCCGCTGTCTGTTAATGATCTCAGCTAATGCTGATATCTGCTGCACAGATTAATGTGGGCTGGAATAGCTGGAGACAATGCTTAGAAAAGAGTAATTTTATCATACAACAGAAAATCCAGAAGTGCGATATTCTTGAGATGAGTTACGGTTGTAACATTTGTTATAGTTTTAGAAACTATCACAGGAGCAACAAAAGGAAAACAAAACAAAAAAAAAGGTCAAGTCTGTCAAAACCTTCAGGGGAGACCTGACAACAGCCTGCTGTGAGGCACTATTTTGTGGTGATGTGCCAGAATGCCATGGCTGAGGAAGCTGTTCACACGCATGGCAACAAAAGGTCATTGTTCCAATCTAGATCCCTGCTTCTCATTAATTTCAGCAACAGCGGGCGCTTTTATATTCAACTTCCTATGCAAACAAAAAGGAACTATTGGCAAAAGACAAACAAATATGGAAGAGTTACAAGAAGCTAAATCTAAAACACGACAACAGTCTTGCAGAGACAAAATGAATAAAATACGTGTAACTGTCAGCCACGACGAATTGATAATGCTTTTATTTTGACAAGTTTGACATATCAAGAGCAGAGTTGTAAACTGAATGAAACATAGTTGGTTTTATGTGCTATTCTAAAACCAAAGATTAAAGTATAAAATCAGTCTGTGAGCAAGATGATAAAAAAGCTTAAATTATCTAACTTAAAGAGAGAAACAGAAAAAAACAAGTTTCATTATAGGCAGTACAGATCTTTCCCAACTACTAAAACTTGTTTTCTTTGTATTTTAATATATGAGATCTTTCCATGAATTATGATGCAACAGCAGCTAAAACTATTGATAGATTTAGCACATAAAACCCAATAAAGTATGAAAAGCACAACTTGTTTCTAGTGCAAATTGTAAATATAACTATAAAGGGACATGTAGAGTCAGTAGTGTCTATGCTACGTCTTGCTACTTGCTGTAGTTGCATTGTGCCATCTATCACACATAAACGTTGGTCTAACCCTTTAAACATTATTTTGTAAAAACATGCATCTGTCCATCCATCCATCCATCCATCCATCCATCCATCCATCCATCCATCCATCCATCCATCCATCCATCCATCCATCCATCCATCCATCCATCCATCCATCCACTTATCCAT